TGCCCGCCGACCTGGCGGCTCCCCCCTTGCCACCACCGTGTGCCCTCCGCCTCCACCCCTCGGCCGGCCACTCACATCTGGCCGCACTTTGAGATACACCTTCTTCTCGTGGGTATACCACAGCTGCTGGGGGGTTTTGGGCTTCTCGGGGATGTCCGACTTCTTGGCATTCTGGATTAGGTCGGGGTGATCCTCCCTAGCCGGGGCATGGGAGCAAGGGTCAGCAGGCAGCACTGCCAGGGCAGACCCAAGCTAGGTGCCCCACCCACCAAGCTGTGGGACTGGAGGGACAACGGCTGCCTGCCTGTCCTGCCCAACACACTAGGGCCCACGTGTGACCCATCCGTCCTCCATGGATGGCAAGCTCTGGGCTCTGGCCAGGGTCAGCCTATCCTGCAGCGCCCCCTGCCCCTTCTTGGGGTTCCACTGCCTTACCTGAATCGGGCCAGGTTTCGTTCGAACTCCTGTTTCTCCCTCTGGAAGTCCTGAATATATTTCATCTGGGGGGAGGAGGGACGGGGTCACCCAGGACCCAAGGCCTATCTCACCCTGAGTCGCAAAAGTCACCCAGAGCCCTCCTCTCTGGCTCTTCTGCCCCGTGGTGACACGGGGAACGGAGGATGACATGGCCAGGCGAGGGATGGTGGCCTTCTCGTGGGCAGGGGACCCACTGGAGAATAGACCTGTGGCTTTGAACCGCAAATTGGGAGCTACGGGGTCTCCCAGACTCTGAACCCCACGTCCCATTCTCTTCTTCCAAGAGTGGGACAGAGTCCCAGAAGGCGAGTTGGCACTGCCGTCACACTGGGCAGTGGCAGGGCCGGGACTCCCCACATCCCTTCTTCAGCACCACAGAACTCCCAGAGGAGGCTCCTGTCATCCCCTCTTCCCACGTCTGTAGCAGCTGACCTTTTTCCCCCATCCCCTTCAAAGATGGCTCACCAGGCCGGAAGTAGGCCGAGTCCTGCTCCCAAGGCCTGAGAGGAGACTGTGTTGGGGGAACCCAGAGTGAGTTTCTACCATGCAAGTCGCATCCTCACAGCTGTCTCCCGAATTGGGGCTTTCCCCGCACCCGCTGGCTCTGGGTCTCCAGCTGCCACTTCCGTTCCTTCCCAAGATTCTGACACCGCCATCCTCTTCCTGACCTCCAACCCTTCCCTCCCTCGGCCCACTCACTCTCTTCTGTCACTTGGCTTCTCTTCCCTCTCCGTGCCCTCTTCAGCCTTACCCTCCTTCCCTGCATCCTTCCAACCTCTCGGGATTCTCTCCCTTTTCCTCTCACTCGCGTCCTGTCTGCAGGGTTCTGGACCTCCTTTCCAATCTGTCTCTTTCCCTTCCTCATCCACCTTCTGTCCTGACTCCCACTCAATGTCTCCCTCTACTTTCTCCCTCGCAGATTCACAAAGGTGCTAGAAGGTGCCAAGGACTCACGGCGATCGAGCCCAACCCAGGCCTCTCAAAGAGGCACCAGGTACAAAGAGACAACTCCACCCTTCCCTGCAGTTCCCAGAGAAAACCAGGAGTAGAGCCCAACCTCCGCTGCCCCAATCGCAGCACTCCTCAGACAAAGCAGCAGTTTTCAAAACTGGAGGGCACCTCGCAGATCTGGCTCATCCTCCACACCTCAAAGACCAGGCCCCCAGAAGTGAAGCGACTTACCGAAGGCCCCCCACAGTGATTCAGTGGTAGAGTCAGGAGAACGGGCCCAAGGCTTGTGTCCCCCAGGCCAGCTCCTTGTCCACTCTGCCAGTTTCTTCTGGCCTTCCCTGGATCTTGGACCCTTTGCCTCTTGGCCTCTATCTCCCATCCCGTGAGAGTGACTAAGTGTCGTGTGTACAGTCAACTGTTCAACACTCTCTCCTAAGGGCTCAGCAATGACTCCGGCAGTCCACAGCCCTACTTGGCTCACACAGCGGTTGCAGACAGCTGGAATACCCAAGCACGCTGGCTCTTTTTGAGTACAGCACCAAGGGCATGGGAGTCCGCAGCCAGGACAGGTGAACCGGGAGAAAGGGCTACTCACAGTGTGGCAGCCAGTGCCACCTTTGAGGGCTGGCCGCATGTGACTTTGTTTCCTCTCCAAGTGGGTATGCTTTGTCTCCCGCTGCCCTGTACCAACATCTGTCCTAGCTCCCCCTTGCCATCCAGCACCCCCTCCATGTTCCTCTCTCTCCCTTTTCCTCTCACTCGCGTCCTGTCTGCAGGGTTCCTACAGTATTTGGCTGCCTAGTTCGGGGAGGGACCTCTGTGCAAGTCAGCGTTTACCCCTGTCTGGGAGGTTTGCTCTGCCCAAGGATCATGCCCTCTGACAGTCTGTGACAGTGCTTCACCTCTGCAGGAGACGGCATGAAGCCAGGAGGGATGCGTGTCCGGGAGGGAACACGTGTGTATGGAGGAAAGCCCGTATGACACATGGAAGTGATAGTGACAGGAGCGCTGGACTGGGAGCCCGGGGCACTGACATCACTAGTTGTGTGAACTGGGACACTTACTCCTCCTGCACCTCAGTTCCTTGCCCGGAAACTCGGGACAGCCCCTCTTCCTAGGGTTACCTTTATGAAGACATCTGCAAGGACCCAATGCCACAATGGTGGGACATGTCCCAGAGGGTGGAGAGCAGTTGTGGAGGCCTCACAGTGAGGGGGCACATGAGGGGTGAGGGCCTACAGGCTGTCCAGAGGGGAGGAGGCTAGTCCGAGAGCCACCTCTGTCTGCTCTACATCTGCGTCACCACCTGTGCCTGACCATGTGTGTACCTAAGAAGGGGGCGGTCAGGGGTGCTGCCCGGAGACCCCACCCTGCTGTGACTTGCCCACACCCCCAGTGCCAGGTCCCTCCAAGGCCCACCTCTGAACGGACCCGAACCACACCAGCTGCTCCCTGCCTGCCCTCCCACCTGCGTTAGCCCCCCTCCCCCCACCTTCTTCTTCTCCGGAAGCTCCTTGTACTTCTTGGACAGAATCTTGGTCAGGTCCAGGTTGCTCATCTCAGGGTGGAGTTTCGCATACTTGGCTCGCTTCTCCATGAAGAAGCGGAAATAAGGGGTCAGGGGTTTCTTTGGGAAGTCTGGGTGTTTCTGGAAGGAGGGACAAGGACACGACGGAGGTCAGACACCATCCGTTCTCTGGACCATTCCTCCCCCATTCCTGGTGCTCCTCCCCCAGTAACTTACCTTGAGCTTTTTGCCTTTGTAAGGATTTTTGACATGTTCCTGAGCATCAAGGATCAATTCTGTCAAGGTCCGGAACTTCCTCACCTGAAGAAAGAAGAGAAGGGGACAGAAGGGGAAGTTGGGGAAAAAAGAAAACCACCCAGTGGTATTCTCCTATTTTCCAACGGGTCCCCTCTACTCTCCACTAGACTGACTTTACCGAGGGAGGAGGACAGAGGCCATGGTCACACAGCACAGGTATGGACACCCAGGCAGTGGCTCATGCCTCTCACGGGCCCAGGTAGGCAGGACACACCAGAGGACAGCCACAAGGAGGTTCCCTGGCCTCAACCTGGTTGTCCATGCCAGCACCTGTCGATCCCAGAACAGCTCAAGGCCACCCAGATGGAAACTGACAGGACTGGGAACTCTAGGTCAGTGTTTTCAACCGTGCCCCCTCCCAAAGTGCACAGGGGCAGAAAGTGAGCAAGCAGGTGGCCACACCACTGCCTCTCCTGGTCCCTTTCCTTCCTGAGTATGGTCTGCTGTTTCCCCTCCTCCATCAGGAAAGTGGGATGAGAAGTGTGTGTGTAGGTGTGTATTTGCTTGAGTCAGGAAGAAGGGGGGTCCACCTACCTCGTTAGAAATCTCCACCCATTTGAGCTTGCACATGTCTCCAGAAAAGTCTTTAAATGCTACTTTTTCCCAGTCCATATGTGATTCGGTGGTCTTGAACTTGGAGCTGTCATTGGATGGAAGGTTGTTCTTCATGCATTCCAGCAGAGTCAGCATGTCTTCCTGAGACCAGCGGTCTGGTGAGGGGAAGGGGCCGTCATGCTCGGCTCATGCTGTCCCCGCAACCCTTCCCCCGGCCTTGAGGGACCACCCCTTCCTCCCCAGAGCACCCCAGCCCCAGAAGACATAGACGGTGCATGGCTCAGCCCTAAGCCATACCGGATTAGGGCAGAGACTCCAGTCTGGACGGTGTCATTCCCAGAAAGCTAGACTCGAACTTAGGTCTGGCGTACTTCAAGGCTGCTACCATTTCTAATGTGCCAGGATGCTATGGGTCACTAGCTACCATGGGGATGTGGGGAGGGTGGAAATGAAGGTACAGTGATTCAGGGCCTTGTGGGCAAGCAGCTGGCTTATCAGAAAGGGAGCGAGGCAGGGAGGAAGCATATCTAGATGTGTTGCCAAGTTCAAGTCCAAGTTCTACTTCTGAGTGGACACCTGGAATGTGCCAGGATTGAAAATGGGATGTGGGCAGGAAGGAGAACCCATGCAGGTGTCTCTCCAGCACAGCTAGAAACTCGTGTTAGAGAACCCTGCCCTTCCCCACAAGGCAGACAAAGGACAGCTTCTGACAAATAAGAGTAAAGGGCCAGAAATGAAAGACCCATATGGGGCAGCTCTGAGGCCAGGCAGGCAGGCGAAGAATCTGGGAGCCCGCTCCAGGGAGAACCCCCAGAATCCCTAGATATCTTCTTAAGATAACTTGCCAGGGAGGCAAAAAAGGGGGTCTGGACCAGCTATTTTCAGTCACTGGAACCCCTTCCCAGAGAGCGCTGACCCCCCAGGAGGTGGCTGTCCTGGAAGGTGAGCCGGGAGGACAGTTATCCAAGGCCAGGAGTCCAAAGGCTCTCCATTTTCATCTGCTTCTGGGAACCTGGGCTGGGGTTTCTGCAGAGCCGATCACACAGACACGGAAATCCCTCTCCCCTCAGTGTCCCTCAAGCACTGCTGGATGCTCAGTTCCATCCTGCCCTTCACACCCATTCCCATGATCCGGCAGATGAGGCAGGGGGAGCACCCATATCCCATGGCCTGGGGCCGCAAGACACCCAGGCTCTCCACCTGCCTCCACAGCACCTGTCACCCTAACAACAGACAGCCTGAGAAGCCCACCAGTCCCCTTCTCCACACCCATCCTTCCTCCCATCCCAGGACTGGACCGGGACACACAGAAGGCTTGCCCACAGAGGAGCGCCTCCCGGCCCAACGATCTCGACTCAGCCACCTCCTAAGCGTGAGCTGTGCTTGACTCCTAAGTACTCAAGACCCCTCCTTCCGGTCCGACTGCAGACACCCTTTAGAAGGTGAGTGAGCCCTGCAGCCAGCCATGCGGGAGAGAGGGCTTACGTTTCAAAGGGCTGGGGGTGGGGGCCCCTACCTTGGCCTTTGGGGGCGGCCATTTCCAGGTCTGTGGGGCAGTCGGCTTCTCCGTTCATCCTCCAGCTGTCCAGCCACTTCCTCGGTCGTGCTGGCCGGGTAACCCGGGGTCAAAGCCGCCTCACCCTTTAGAAGACACACCATTTCCCACTCAGGCAGGGTGAGGATGGGGGACTTTCTATCCCTCCCCCGCCAGGGAGGGGGGTGCTGGTCTACATTCCCAGAGAAGCCAAGCCACACCCTCCCAGACCTCAGGGGTCGGTGGGTGCGGGTGAGCGTCCCTTCTTTTTCCTAGCTCCCTCCCTCTGCCCCTGCAGCCCGCTTCGCGGCGTGCGCCCTCCCCTGCCCACGCGAGAGACTGCTCCCGGCTCCCGCGTGCAGCGAGCGCCCGCCCTCCGCCCCCCTTCCCCCACCCCGGCAAAAAAAAAACTCCTCCTCCTCGGAGCGCCCGCCCCGGGGAGGCTCCAGGCTGGAGGGCGGGGGAGGAGGAAGGGCGGGTAAAGGGCGCGCGCGGCCACGGAAG